GGAAAGATTTAGTGCTGGGATACTTTGGACCCACACATTGTCCCATTGTGTGGGACAATGGTGGGGCAATAGCTTGCGCCTGGTGGGGGACAAAACCCCTGGGAGATGGCGGGCTCTTGGTCCACCCCAACTTATTTCACTGTGACTGGCTGAGGACCACACTATAAGTCTGCCTTGTCATCAACTCCTCTCTTATGATTCATTCCTCCGTTTACAGGCTTGCCTTTGCTTCCCAAATTAAGATATATGCTTTACACTAGACAGGAAGTATGATGGCTTAATGAAGAAGAGGTCAGAAGTAATACCTCAGTGTGACCTCTGCTTTCATTGTCTGTACCTTTGACATCTGATCAAACACATTAAACTACCCAAAATGCACACATCTGGGCTTTTTGTAGAGTATCTTTTATTTTTTTTTTAAAGCTTTGCTTACCTGTGGAGTCTATTATTTATTGTAGTACTCTTTTTGCCACTTAGGCCCTAGGCTTAATCAGATCTGTAAATTAATTCTCTCCTGGGGTTTCTCTTTGTGTGTTCAGAAAGCATAAAAAGTGTTCATGACACGCTTCAAAACACACACTGTTTACATTAGTCATCCTCTCAGCATAATAGTTTTATTGAGAACACTTTAGGTTAAAAAACCCCACATTTCCTCTAATCTCATTTCTTTCCCTCACTTTTGATCCCTAGAATTATGTTACATGTTAGTAAACAGCTACGTGACATGCAAAGGCTGTAATTGTGATTTTTAATTCTTTTTTCTGGAGGAAAAAAGCTACTGTTTACCTCTTGAAATATCTATTATTACTTTTTATGATGTATTCAAATGAAAACATTTTTGTACAGGAACTTCACCTTCTTTTGGCAGCTGGAAAACTGGTTACAAACACGAGCGCTGCTGAATCGTGGCATTCCTTCTGTCTGCTTGCCATTTCCCCAGTTTGGCAGTCCCAGCCCAGCGGCAGGGTCAGGGCCAGATGGGACAGGACAGCTTGAATGGGGAGCACCAACCTCTCCATCAGTGCTGCCTGCATCTTCGTGGACGGACCATCCCTCACACCCACTGTGCCCCTTCCTTGTCACAGCTGTTTGAAACGCCTCCTAGTCAACAAAACCCTTCCGTGGCAAACATTGCAATGTAGGAAAGGATTTGAATGGTGGAAAATGTGGCTGACGTCAGTGAGGAAGAGAGGGTGCTCAGCAAGCACTGCAGTGCCCATTGGCAAGAGGGGAGGACTGCTGTGGCCCGTTGAATCACAGCCTGAGAGCTACGGTGACAACAAGCTGCATTACCTCACCTTGGGTGGGAGGGGTACTTTCCAGAACTCACAGACAAATGTTGCTGTGGTCTTCTCTTTATGCCAGTGGGGACCCAGGGAAAATTTCTCCTTATGATACTGCAGATTCACCCTTCTACTCTCTAGGCAGCCTTATCTACCCCGGCTCTGACCTTGCACGCACACCGCACACACACATACACCCCCCCCAATCTCTCAGACCCTTTGTGTTTCACAGGAAACAAGCAGATAAACCACAGCTCTTAATTTCCTAACTATGCAAAAAGGTAGAAGCTCCTAAACCTTCAGAAACTCAAAAATGCTGAAGTAGTTGGAAAAAAAGGCAAAGAAAAGACCTGAAGCCAAATGGGGATTTCACACCGCGGATGTTGGGATCTCATAGGCATTACCAAGCCACGTGGTGCTCTCACAGCACACTTACTCTCGTGTGTGTTTGCTAGAAGAGGACAGCAGCGTGTGGTAGAGAGAGCCCCATCTTTGAGGAAGGAC